AAGAGCGTGGAACTCAGGAAGTTGCGGAATTATCAGATAGTTAACATTGAGTTAACATCATGACCTTTCAATCCTTGTTGCAGTCTTCGTCGATTCCTTGTTACTTGTTAGATCATCTGAGCCCTCACACATTTCTCATCATTTCTGAATGAAGACAAATAGTCATGGGCGAGATTGCCAGTGAAAGTGAAAGGAATCCGACTCTTCAAAATCCTGGATATTTTGACACCAGCCCCCCAACGGCTGATGTCCACGCCATTGCTTGAACCTGCTGCATTGCATGCCTTGCCTGTGGGATCCTTCCACTGAGGACCTTTTTCCAGTGGCTTTCACAGAGAGGGAGTCTGACGCAGACAAGAACAGGCTTTGGGCCGGCGGCTTCAAGATCAAAACTGACTCTTTGTGACCATGTCTCGGTGAGAAAATTGCCAGACACCGAATTTTTGTCAACGGCATATTGGAGGACTTTTGAAGATTTGTGACATAATTGTGAGTCAAGCAGCTGGCTCATGCAGCATAACAACTGCGTCCCTTCTGAACTGCGTTTCTTCCGTGCTCTATGGCTGCCGGGTTCAGGCGAGACTCATGGGTTACGAAGGTGCCTGAAGAGGGAGATGATTTGGAGGAGTTTGAGGAGTCTGACGAGTGTCAGTGGTTCGATGACGGAGTTGGTGGCGTTGCCCAGGCCATTTGCACAGTTCATGCAAGAGTCCAGTGTGGCGACTGTTCTCAAGTTTTATCTATGGCTGTAGTCTTGCATTCCAAATCCAACTTAAATGTGGCTGCGATGCAATGCTTGATCTATCGCCATCAAGCCACGAGATCAGTCAGTCGCCCTATATTCCATATGTTTTGGCTTGTCGTCTCCACGTTACCTGCATCTTTTGCTTGACCGACCCAGGCATCTACACAGCACTTGTTGCTCACGACCGATTCCAAGAATGATTCAGAGGTGCCGACATTGCGACATTGCGCTATCCGCCACCTTGTTGATGAGGATGGACCAATGGAGCATCTTCAGTTTGTTCTGTGGCCAGTTGAGCATATTTGGTTCGGATCTTGGTTTTAAGTCAAAGGCGTTCCCAAATCCGGAGATAAAGCCTAGAAATTTTGGCCAGACTATGAGATTGCTGTAGTAGCGTGTAGCAGCAGACTGGAATCAGTCGAATGACACGACAATGCGTTGTTCCGCTTAAGCCGTAGATTTTCAAATCGTGGGCTCGACCTGGGAAACGGCACAGGCACAGGAAAGGTTGCTCATGACTGACTCCGAGGAGAATCTGGAGGCGACGATATTAGGCTGTTAATGTTGGCTGACCAATAGTAACCCCCCCTAAGTAAAATAAATTTCAAAAAAAATTAGGGGGGTCAGCATTCCAATAGTAAATTTTTGGAACCCTATGGCTGGGATCATGATATGTATCTGATAGATTCTCCATGGTTTTGTTGGGTTTCTGATAGATTCTGAATCGATTTGGGTTTCTCAGAGCTCTTCTTGGAATCTGTCTGGATACTATACCATGCCCTCTGGACAAGGTCTGAACATGACTCTTGTGGCAATACTAAAAGTAAATGGAGCTAATTGACTTTTAGTATTGGAGAAAAAAATGGAGTTGGAAAAAAGTTTCCACTATTGCCATGTTGGGTCCACTATTGGCAATGCCCTCTGGACAAGGTCTGAACATGACTCTTTTGGCACTACTAAAAGTAAATGGAGCTAATTGACTTTTAGTATTGGAGAAAAATTGGAGTTGCGGAAAAAAGTTTCTATTGATAAGATATCATTATTGGCTAGACAACATTAGGCTGTTAGGCTCAAGGAAGGTTCCATTTGATACATTTTGATACAACATGAGCTGCCTCTATACATCCGTTGAATGCAGCGGCGTTGCAGATGTTGTAATACACAACGGAGGTCAATTTTCGGAGGTGCATAGTTGCAAAGCAAATCTGAAGCTCAATGAAAGGATACAGCATACATAGCCTCTTTGTTGAGCCCAGAGGCATCTCCGACCTTTCACCATTTGATGCAGCTGTATTTGGGTAGTATTATAGTATCGGTGTTGTAAGAAAAGTAGGCTATGACTGACTATGACAGACAATATCATACATTGTGAGAGTTCCGCTAGGCACCAGTATACTATATTGTATTATATATATATATATTGTAAACAATAGAGATAGGACACATGCATTTTTCTTCGGTCGATTTTGGAACTGTTTTGTTGCAGATGGCTTCCAATTTTGGACGGATTTGGAGGGGCACTGCACATGTTGCACGTGTGACGACACTAATGTGGGAGAGGTTAGGTTTGCGGTACAGCTTGGAAAGACGCTCGAGTTGGTGTTTCTGGTTAAGTGGGTGAGGTACCAAGGAGCTAGAGGGTTTGGTTGGGCTAGGTGGCGACGCCACAGATGTTCGACATCAGCAGTGATTTGGACGGCGAGTCCGAGGTGCTCACACCGGGCAGGTCTTAGTCGAGATAGGAAAGTGACCCAAGACTCACCTGAATACACAAGTTTGACAGGTAGAAATGGGTGCCTTGAAAAGCAAGTGAGTTGGTGTTTCTGGTGAAGTGGGTGATGTACCAAGGAGCTAGAGGGTTTGGTTGGGCCAGGCGGCGAAGCCGCAGATGTTCGACATCAACAGTGATTTGGACGGCGAGTCCGAGGTGCTCACACTGGGCAGGTCCTTATTTCATGGTATTTCCATGTATACCATCAGGAAGGAACATGAAGGCCACGCAAAGGCAAAACATGATATATGGACTCTGTCCAGTCCACAGGTTGGTTGCAGGTGAAGAGTGCGTCGCATGGTCTTGGTAGTCAATGGACCAGTCAATGGATGTCAATGGTAATGATGGTCAGTTGTGGTCCTATCTCAACACTCTATGCCATGATGAATGAAAGAGCTGCAAATTGTTGGTCATGTGCATCGGTTTCCAAGCCTCTGGAGGAGCCGGTTTTGCCGGAGATGCCCTTCGCTCCCCCTGAGGGGGATTACGGCGACGACAGTGAGACGACGGAGCACCTAGAGCAGTTCAGACACGAGCAGGGCAGGGATACATTGGTATCTACTTCTGGCTCCAGTGGATCTTCGTATCAGGCAGGGCAGATGTTCATGGGGACTTGGCGGCCCAAAGGCGGTATACGGTGTGCTATACTAGTCTATACTACCTGGTTTGTTGGGAAATGTTAGGACTCCGTATGGGGCGGGGAACCTGTATCAACAAACCGGTGTAAAGGGATGAAAGAGGGTTTTCACTGTGCTCAATTGCCATTTCCGACTTTAGGGGTTTGGAAAGGAAATCTAATGAAGGCCAACGAAAGGCCTTTGGATTTTGGACCTTGGTGCATAAACGAGAATCGTTACTTCGATTTATTTCATACCAGTAGTACCGCACAAGGCGGTGGCGGAAGTTTCAAAAATAGGAAACCTATAGGCCTGTAGGAGAAGGTGGATGTTGTGAATCAGGGATGGCAGAGCGAAGCCACTGATGGATCGAAAGATGATTGATCTCTCTCACTCTTTCTCTGACTATCTACCTACCTAACTATCCATCTAGCCATGTATCTATCTATCTATCTATCTTTCTATCTATCTATCTATCTATCTATCTCTTTCTCTCTTTCATCTAACTACCTATCTATCTATCTATCTGTCTGTCTGTCTGTCTGTCTATCTAACTGTCTATCTGTGGTGCAGTGTCATTCAGTGTACTGTAGTGTAGTGTAATGCAGTGTAGTGTAGTGGAGTGTAGTGGAATGTAGTGAAGTGTAGTGGAAGGTAGTGAGGTAGTGTAATGTAGTGTAGTGTAGTGTAGTGTAATTTAGTGTAGTGGAGTGTAGTTGTGTAGTTGTAGCTGTAGTGTTGTGGGGTGTAGTGTAGTGTAATGTAGTGAAGTGTAGTGTAGTGTAGTGAAGTGTAGTGTAATTTAGTGTAATGTAGTGTAGTGTAGTAGAGTGTAGTGTAATGTAATGTAGTGAAGTGTAGTGGAAGGTAGTGTAGTGTAGTGTAATTTAGTGTAGTGTAATGTAGTGTAGTGTAGTGTAATTTAGTGTAGTGGAGTGTAGTGGAGTGTAGTGTAGTGTAATTTAGCGTAGTGGAGTGTAGTGGAGTGTAGTTGTAGTTGTAGTGTTGTAGTGTCGTGGAGTGTAGTGTAATGTAGTGAAGTGTAGTGTAGAGAGTGTAGTGCAATGTAATTTAGTGTAGTGGAGTGTAGTGGAGTGTAGTGGACTGTAGTTGTGTAGCTGTAGTTGGAACCTGTCGTGTTGTGAAGTGTAGTGTAATGCAATGTAGCGTAATGTAGTGTAATGTAGTGTAGTGCAGCAAAGTGTAGTGTAATGTAGTGTAGTCGAGTTAAGCGAAGCAACATCTGAACCGCCAAAAGTGGTCCGAAACCCTAGTGTTTTTAACATTTTAACTTCCAAATATGCTTCGCGCCACAACGGCGTGCACTTTTTCGAAACTCGACATCTCAGCCTCCAAAAGTGGTCCGAGAATGGTGTGTTTTGTACATTTTGACTTCGAAATGTGCTTCGCGCCACAACGGCGTGCACTTTTTCGAAACTCGACTTTGAAACTTCCAAAAGTGGTCCGAGAAGTGCTTCGCGCCACAACGGCGTGCACTTTTTCTACATCGCAACCTCCAAAAGTGGTCCGGACCTGGTGTGTTTTGTACATTTTGACTTGGAAATGTGCTTCGCGCCACAACGGCGTGCACTTTTTCGACATCTCAACTTCCAAAAGTGGTCCGGAGCTGAGGTGTTTTCTACATTTTGACTTGCAAATGTGCTTCGCGCCACAACGGCGTGCACTTTTTCGACATCTGAACTTCCAAAAGTGGTCCGACAATGGTGTGTTTTGTACATTTTGACTTGGAAATGTGCTTCGCGCCACAACGGCGTGCACTTTTTCGACATCTCAACTTCCAAAAGTGGTCCGAACCTGATGTGTTTTGTACATTTTGACTTCAAAATGTGCTTCGCGCCACAACGGCGTGCAATTTTTCATCTCTCATCTGGCCAGCTGGCTCCGCACCCGCCGCTTTAGCGAGCCTACTTTTCGACCCTCAGGAGCCACAAATATTGGAAAAACACAGTGAATCGCGACTTTCCTACCTTTTCGCGCATCTACATCTTCTTTCTTCTGATCTTTTCTCTTCTGACTCTTCTCACCTCTGCTTTTCAACTGTCCATATTGTCGGAAGTTTCACTTCTAAACTTCCTTCGATTATTTCCATTTTTTCCCATCATGAAGGAACATGAAGGCCAAGCAAAGTTCACAGGTTGGTTGCAGGTGGTCAGTTGTGGTCCTATCTCAACACTCTATGCCATGATGAATGAAAGAGCTGCAAATTGTTGGTCATGTGCATCGGTTTCCAAGCCTCTGGAGGAGCCGGTTTTGCCGGAGATGCCCTTCGCTCCCCCTGAGGGGGATTACGGCGACGACAGTGAGACGACGGAGCACCTAGAGCAGTTCAGACACGAGCAGGGCAGGGATACATTGGTATCGGCTTCTGGCTCCAATGGATCTTCGTATCAGGCAGGGCAGATGTTCATGGGGACTTGGCGGCCCAAAGGCGGTATACGGTGTACTATACTAATCTATACTACCTGGTTTGTTGGGAAATGTTAGGACCTCGTATGGGGCGGGGAACCTGTATCAACAAACCGGTGTAAAGGGATGAAAGAGGGTTTTCACTGTGCTCCATTGCCATTTCCGACTTTAGGGGTTTGGAAAGGAAATCTAATCCCTTCCTCCTAATGCAAACCCCCCCCCTAATACAAAACAGTGCAGGTAGTTTTTAGTATTAGGGGGTATTTAGTATTAGGGAACCCTAATACTAAATTAAAACCCTTAATAATAAAAACTATTTTTTCCGATCTCAAAATCAATTAAATTTCCTTATATAACGCAATTAAAATATTGCCAAAAATGGGAGTTCGAAGCTTACCCCTAATACTAAATAAAAACCCTTAATAATAAAAACTATTTTTTCCGATCTCAAAATCAATTAAATTTCCTTATATAACGCAATTAAAATATTGCCAAAAATGGGAGTTCGAAGCTTACCCCTAATACTAAATTAAAACCCTTAATAATAAAAACTATTTTTTCCGATCTCAAAATCAATTAAATTTCCTTATATAACGCAATTAAGATATTGCCAAAAATGGGAGTTCGAAGCTTACCCCTAATACTAAATAAAAACGTTTAATAATAGAAACTATTTTTCCGATCTCAAGATCAATTAAATTTCCTTATATAACACAATTAAAATATTGCCAAAAATGGGAGTTCGAAGCTTACCCCTAATTGCTAGAGCAGCCAGGCAGCTTGGAGTGAGGGATTGGTACTAGGCCCCCCTAATACTAAACACTCCGGGGTTGACTAGTTTGTAGTATTAGGGGGGAGAACCCACAAATGGTAGGTTGATTTTTAAATTGTTTTTTAAAGGGGATCAATTAAAAGTCAAATTGGCCAAACATGCCAAACTGAAATTTTCAGAAATTGAGGATGGACGCCTGTTTTTAGTATTAGGGGGACGTTTAGTGTTAGGAGGAAGGGATTAATGAAGGCCAGCAAAAGGCATTTGGATTTTGCAATTTTACAATCTCTGAAGGGAATAGATCACACATAGAATCTGTCCAGTCCACAGGCTGTGGGTGATGTGGTCTATTTTTTTGCGATGTTGGAAAAACTGTATTTGCTAAAACGGTGGGGGCCTGGCTTTTCTCTTGATACAAATAGCACTTTTTTCTATGGTTGGCATTGATTTCTGACAGTTTTCTCCATTTGAAGTTCACTTGCGTGTCTTTTTCCAGTTGATCCCAGAGGCATGGCCCAGTAGCGTTGCGAGATTTCAACAAAGCTGTGAATTCCTGCTAATTTTTTGGGCTGTATGTCGAGTTTTGTGCCTACGCCAGATGTTTGTTTCTTTTCAGACTTTGCAGAAATCATTCTCCAAGAATGCTTTCAGGTACGAAAGCCATGTGTATGGATTCACGGCATTCCATTTGAAGCGAAGACCGAGGCCGGTTTTTTTTGCTCATTTTATCGTCCATGTGGGAGACTTCGGTTGTGTGTCCAGTCAGGACTTTGACACTGGGTGGGAGTACCTCTATGACGGTCTGGTTTGCCCTGAGGCGGGTGCTCTTTGAAACGATTTTAGGATCAGAGTCAGCACAGGTGGTATTCCTCAGATTTGGGGAGCTTCCCGAGTCAGAGTTTTCCAACTAGAGATGCCAGAGTAGACAGTTCTGGTGGGTGTTGATTGATGTGGATGATGTTGTTCTTCTTGAAGGGCTGTTGGTCTGTAGCCTTCAAGGGCGGCATAAGATTCATCATGTTTGCATTGTGTGGTTTTCTAGGTTGTTCCAGCATCTTGCGAAGTCTGCGCCCTTTGGATCCTGTTGGTGAGATTTCCTTGCTGGCACCATTGCCACATCCTGCAAGGCAGAGACAATCACGAAAGTTCAGGAAGCAAGGCATGATGCAAGGCATGATGCAAGCCATGGAGTGCTTTTGTTGATTGTGCATAGATTCATGTTTGAATCAAGAATGGATTCGGTAGTTTGTGCGTTGGTGGTCTCCATCATACCAGAGACTGAAGATGTGAAACTTGAAAGAGTGCAGGCTGGCCGAGGACACTCTCTGTCCTCAGTTCCTTTGCAGAATGATAGCAGACTGAAAGGATTGGTGTGATTTCGAGGGCTTGAGACATTCCAAGTCTCTATTCAAACATGAGTTCTTTCCAGTGTAGACAGATCATCATAAGCAGCGGGAAAGAAGTTGCTTCTTGCTGAGGATATTTCTTCATCTCCTCGGCTTCCTACCTGTGACTCAACTTGTGAAGAGCGCCGCAAATCTTGGAGAAAACGACCAACCTTCAACATTGTTCAACAGTTTCTTTGGCGGTTTTGTTCAGTTTTCCTTTGCTTTCCACAGGTATGAATGCCCTGACTTGGTGTGATGTGCAGACCGAGCCCAGGTGACCGAAGTGTTAGAGTACAACCTTCAAGCAGTGTCACGCAACTTTTCGAGTCGCGAGGCACGAAAGATGCCAACATGTTCCAACGCGAGCCGGGAGGGACATGATGAGATCCTTCTCTGCATTCTGACTGTCAAAAGCATCCAAGCTTGAACAGGTTTGGATGACCCACTTGTTCAACTTGATGGATTTCGATTCATTCCAGCCTGTCATTGGTATTCCGCCACTTGGCTGCAGTCCGTGGAATTTTCAAACTAGTTGTTTTGTCTTTGCCCTTCTCCGTCACCAAGACAATCTATGAGGTCGGGTCGGGGGATGTCAGACGTTTAAAAACTTTCAGGGCAGGGTGCTGTGGAAGGAAAAGATAAATGGGGGTCGTTCAAAAACCGTGCCTTTCCTGTTTTAATTGAAACGACATATAGCCACGTTAATCTTGGAATAGAGATGTGAAAACACGAGGTCTGCGCAAGCCGGCGCAAGGGCAAGTGCAAGCTCTATACTTCTACTACTACTACTACTCCTCCTACTACTGCTACTCCTACTACTACTACTACTACTACTACTACTCCTACTCCTACTCCTACTCCTCCTACTACTACTACTACTCCTCCTACTCCTACTCCTACTCCTACTACTACTGCTGCTGCTGCTACTGCTGCTGCTACTGCTACTGCTACTGCTGCTACTAGTAGTAGTACTACTACCTACGAGCGCCGGGCCCAAGTCACATCATGCGAGAAAAGTCACACCATTCCCTGGCACGGCGGCGATTCAGAAAGTCACATCAGGTAGTGGAAAGTCACATCAGGGAAGAAGAATCACCATGGCACAGCCTGTTTCATGTACAATTAGAAATTTAGTTAAAAGTAGCCGAATCATTGCGCACAGCGATGATTTGGAAAGGCACAAGTTAATACAAACAAATTCTCGGCAGCTAATCCTATTGGATTTGAACATATTATTTTGATGTGCTGCGTCGTGTGACCAAATCAAACCCCTATTGGTACAGCCTCAAATTTCTTGCAATGCAAATGGGTTAGCTGTGGCAAATCCTATTGGCAGGGCTATGATCTAGGATGATACGGTGTGCATCAAGGTCGTGGACAGCTCCTATCCGCCCAGCAATTACGAGTTGGAATAACAGAGCCTTTCATTCCATTGCGCGCGGAAAGCGTGGCAGGTTTTGTCGGTGCTCCGTCTGTTGTGTCTGTTGTGTTTGTTCCGTCTTGCGCCGTTTTGCCGTCTTGCCGTCTGCGCCGTCTTGCGAGATGGTGCAAGATGGTGCAGATGGTGAGCGCAGCGAAACAACCGCGCTGTACGACCGCAATGTTTCATTCCAACCAGCCAGAAACATTCCCTCTCTCTGCTGGTGTCTCCCGCCCGTACCTCCCGCCAGCGCCAAACAAGGCGACCGAGACTTTCATTTTCTTCTTCGGCAAAATGTTCGCAGCAGCAAGCAGCAGCAGCACAAAGCAGCACAAAGAAGCAGGCAAGCAGCAGGCAAGCAGCAGCAGGCAAGCAGCAGCAGGCAAGCAGCAGCAGGCAAGCAGCAGGAGGCAAGCAGCAGCAGGCAAGCAGCAGGAGGCAAGCAGCAAGCAGGCAAGCAGGCAAGCAGCAAGCAGGCAAGCAGCAAGCAGGCAAGCAGGCAAGCAGGCAAGCAGGCAAGCAGGCAAGCAGCAAGCAGGCAAGCAGCAAGCAGGCAAGCAGCAAGCAAGCAAGCGGGTAAGCAGCAGCAGGCAAGCATCAAGCATCAAGCAAGCAGCAAGCAAGCAGCAAGCATTCAGCAACCAGCGTTTGCCCCCTTGAATCATTACAAAAAAATGAAACTTTTCCAGGCGCACGGCCCCAAAACAATGAAATCGTTCAGTTGCTAAAAGTATCTAAAAGTTGTGATGATGCCAAACTTGAACTTTTTCCACGCGCACGGCCTCCCAATATTACTTTCAGAAACTGATACGACTTAAACCGAGCACTTGTACTACTACTACTACTGCTGCTGCTGCTGCTGCTCCTGCTCCTGCTACTGCTGCTGCTACTGCTACTGGTACTGCTACTGCTACTGCTACTGCTACTACCTACAACTACCTACAACTACCTACCACTACCTACTACTAACTACTTCTAACTACTACTAACTACTAGGTTCGCGGCTCACATATCGCCGTGAGTCAAAATGGCCATTTGATCAGTGCGGTCTTCACCAATTTTTTGTGAGCTGCCGCAAAAGAATCTTTGTGGTCAAGTGGCCCAAGTTCTCACGCCAAGCCCACGCGTGGACTTGGTGTGCGAAAAAGGGACAGAGGGACTTTGTGTGCGGATCTTTCATCAGCTTCTTGGGCAGGTAGTGCTTGAGGGTTATTTTTCACCCCACCCCACCCCAGCGTCACATCAAGAGCGTCTTCCAAGTTATATACTTCGACATGCGTTGTCTGCGTAGAATCAAGGATGTGGTCATCAGGACGTTAATACACACCACCCCACCCCACCTCAGCGTCATATCAAGCGCGTCTTCCAAGTTACTTCGACATGTGTTGTCTACACAGAATCCAGGATGTGGTCGTCAGGACGTTAATACACCCCCCACACCACCCCAGCGTCACATCAAAAGCGTCTTCCAAGTTACTTCGACATGTGTTGTCTACGTAGAATCAAAAACGTGGTCGTCAGGACGTTAAATACATCTCCCCCCACCCCACCCCAGCGTAACCCCTCGAATGGTCAAAAAATGCAAATTTTACCATGGCGAATTAAACGCCCTGGTCCAACTACTACTAACTACTACTAACTACTACTAACTACCACTAACTACCACTAACTACTACTCACTACTACTACTGCTGCTACTACTACTACTGCTGCTGCTGCTACTACTACTACTACTGCTAGTGCTACTGCTAGTGCTACTGCTAGTGCTACTGCTAGTGCTACTGCTAGTGCTACTGCTAGTGCTACTGCTAGTGCTACTGCTAGTGCTACTGCTAGTGCTACTGCTGCTAGTTCCTAATGCTCGTGCTTATTTTGCTAGTGCTACTGCTAGTGCTACTGCTAGTGCTACTGCTAGTGCTACTGCTAGTGCTACTGCTAGTGCTACTGCTAGTGCTACTGCTAGTGCTACTGCTAGTGCTACTGCTACTGCTCCTACTACTACTACTACAACTACTACTACTACTTCTACTACTACTACTACTACTACTACTATTACTACTACTACTACTACTACGACGACGACTACTACTACTACTACTACTACTCCTGCTACTCCTGCTACTCCTGCTACTACTACTACTATTACTACTACTACTACCACTACTACCACTACTACCACTACTACCACTACTACCACTACTACCACTACTACCACCACTACCACTACTACCACTACTACCACTACTACCACTACTACCACTACTACCACTACGACGACGACGACGACGACGACGACTACGACTATACGACTATACGACTACTTGGTAGTCGGCTTTGGGTTGCGGAACTTCTAAATTACATAGTTGAGATATTACACATGCGCATGCTTGCAATACTTACAAGTTATACTTAGAAAACTTAGGATTTGCAAAATTTTAATTAGGTTTTCAAAATTGCTAAGTTCAGTACAAGTAACTTATAAGTTTTTTAAGTAATTTTGAAGTCGTAAAAACCTTGGGATTTTTGTTTTTTCTGTTAAGCAGTTTTTTGTTATTTTTTTTTGTGTTGCTGGGATTTTGTTTTTGCGTCATGCATGACCAAAGTACATGCGTGGTTAGCAAGGCTGGCAGCAGCCAATGCAAGATGTGAAATGTTTGCGGCCCAATGGGCCGCAGATGGAATGGAAACCGCTGCACATGTGAGAATTGAGCTTACAGGAACATCAAAGAATGTATATTTAGCACGGGGCTAAACATTGGACAAACATTGTCTATCCACAACGGTTGTGTCACATGAATCTAAAGAACCCAGAATCATTGAAGCGACTCATGGAGCCGCAATCCATCAGAGTAGTTTTAGTCTGCCTGAGGAATACAGTACTGATGAACAAAAATTACAAAGCATGATCGTTTTATTCAACTTGTTTCCTGAGAAATTCTCAAAAATGATTTATAAATGATGTATAAATGATTTATAAATGATGTATAAATGATGTATAAATCATGTATAAATGATGTATAAATCATGTATAAATGATGTATAAATCATGTATAAATGATGTATAAATGATTTATAAATGATGTATAAATGATTTATAAATGATGTATAAATCATGTATAAATGATGTATAAATCATGTATAAATGGTGTATAAATCATGTATAAATGATGTATAAACGATGTATAAATGATGTATAAATGATGTATAAATGATGTATAAATCATGTATAAATTATGTATAAATCATGTATAAATCATGTATAAATCATGTATAAATGATGTATAAATGATGTATAAATCATGTATAAATGATGTATAAATGATGTATATATATGTACAAATCATGTATAAATGGTGTATAAATGATGTATAAATGATGTTTAAATCATGTATGAATGATGTATAAATCATGTATAAATGACATGGCACATGATTGATAATGGAACTGAAGCCACAAACAGTTTTTGAACAAACATGCAAGCGGCTCAGTGAGCCGCTATAGCTACTAAGAAGAAACCTGCAAATGAGTCGCTGTAGCATTTTCTAAATTGACTCGTTCAGGAAGCCGCTCAATGAGCCGCTCCAAGTATTGAGCAAGTATCGAAAAATGCAAACGAAGCTTTTGTCTACGCAATCGTCAAAATTTATCTGGTTGGATCGACAGGTATACCACCTGAGTCCCAGACAGACATGCGCCAAGTTCACGCATGACCAACCATGCTACACATCACAAACAAAAAACAACTTATTGCGGCGTAGCTTTTGCTGCGCGTGCAATTCCTGCATGAAAAACAAGACGCAAAAAAAAACCATGATTACAAACTTCCCAAAAACATAAGTTATAAAGTTATTTCTAAGTTATTTTAAGTAGATTGTATCCCACATATTTGTGTGGGGTTCTTGTTTTTGGTCTGCATACCACGGCGCCAGCCGCCTGCTCTCCTCCTTCCGCCCCCGCCTCCGTCCAATCACACACCACTGTCATCACACCCACTTGTCCATCACACCACTTGTCCACACCACAAACTTGTAATACACATTGTCATAACACACGTGGTCATCACACCACTTGTCACA